ATTAGCAGGGCTATAATATATAATTTTTGTACAACTAATTATTGTTTTAAAAAGCAATAAAAAATAACCCAATTATCTTTTGATTTTTAAAAACAGTTTTGCAGGTTACAAATTACTGGATAAAATATATGAAGTTTGTCTATGGATTGATTGTGTTTTGGAAGTAATCAAACATTTTCCCCAAGGCAGGTTTCATTTAAAAAAATTAATTTCACGCTATTTAACCCACTTGCCATTTATATTTTTGAAACGATTGTACAAACACTGTAACAAATCACTGGATTGATTGATTGATTGATTGATTGATTTCTTTTAAAAAACGAAATTCCACTAATACACATTTTAACCCAATTACATTACATTTTTTAAACTGTTTAGATAAATTATTAGATGAAATATATGAAGTTAGTTAGCTTTATTGATCTGTTTGTTTGTTTAGTGGAAGTTATTTACCCCAGTTACTGTTATGTTTTTTAAACATTTGTGTAGATAAATTAACTGGATCAAATTATACGAAGTTTATTTATTTGTTTTGAAAGTATAACCACACATTTTTCAGAAACAGTTTTAATTTTTTAAAAAGAAACCCCACTGCAGTGTACCATATGATGCAGTGACAGCTGTATGAGTGACTCTGAAATGGTTTAATTGATCTTTTATTGAGTTGTCGGCTGAATCAGAGTCCCTCATTCCTGCTCCCGAAGAGCCGCTTTCCTGCAGAGTTTAGTTCGTAATTAAACACAGCTGAACCAGCAGCTAACCGAGGGTCTTTGGGTTGAAAACAGCAAGTTTAGAAGCAAACGCTGCAGGACTCGTGAAGGTTGACGCGTCAGAATCACACGAGTAACCATTCAATTAAACTGACTGCTTGACTTGTGCTTCACACAAACCTTTGATGTGCCACTCATGTATTCCCAATGAAACTATAGAGGTATCATTTAAGGTTGTTCACCAGATTTAAAACACTGAAATGCAACTCAAAGAAAAAGATGTTTTATGACTATGATGTACATTTGAAAATGAGGTATATTGGGAATTTACTCCTATATGAACAATTCTTAATCCACAGATTATTTTTTTTTTTCAATTCCCATTTACATTTCATTTTTAGATCGAAATAGTCACTATACTGAATGGTGTTTAAACTATTTTCACTCAAAAATTGCTAGTAAATTACAGAGAAATGGCAAGTTGGAAAGTGAGTTGTGTAAAATAACAAAAATATCTGAATTTCATGTGCGGATCACAGCTGATTGGCTCATTGAATTAAACATACAATTTTGAAGTTGAAAAACTGAAATAGTATTTTCTAAAACTGACTCTAATAATCTTTATTTACGACTTTGAAAAATATTTTTTACAGTGTTCCTTCATCCTTAAACTAAAGTGAGAAATAAACCAAAAAAGTCAATTTCAGTAAAGCCTTAAACATATATGCTTTGATTTTATAATGCAGAAAATTTATCTTAATTTCTTATCAATGCTCATTTGTTTTTATTTTGTCTTAGTTTTTGATTTGATGCAAAATGATTGCCTTTAATTGTATGTTCATTGTTTAGAGATTACAATTAATTAAAAAAAAAAAGAAAATAAAAATACAGAAGGCAACAAGGAAACAAAGAAATGATCGCTTTTATTCAGCAAGGACGCATTAAATGTATCAAAAGTGACCGTAAATATACATTTATAATGTTAGAAAAGATTTCTATTTCAAATAAATGCTGTTCTTTTGAACTTTGTATTCATCTGTGAATCCTGAAAAATAAAATGCATCACTGTTTCTACAAAAATATTAATGTTTTCAACATTGATAATAATCAGAAATGTTTCTTGAGCAGCAAATCAGCATATTAGAATGATTTCTGAAGATCATGTGACACTGAAGACTGGAGTAATGATGCTGAAAATACAGCTGATATATAAAGTATTATATTATTGTGTTATTTTTTTATAAAGCTAAATTATAATGTTTCATCATATATATATATATATATATATATATATATATATATATGCATGCTCAGGTGATCTGTGCATTCAAAAGTTTTACCTTGTCCTGTTTCTCGGGTCACTGAAGCGTTTTCTGTTATTGATTGATGCTGAAGACCCGTGATGCTCTCTTTGCTCTGAGGACTGAGCTCAAGCTGGCCTGAAAATCAGTTTAGTTCATCTCTCTCTCGTCATCAGTCAGAAACAAACCGGTTCAATCATTTAACTACGATACAGCAAGAGACCAGACAGATTAGATTGCATTGATCTTTGTTGTCGTTGTGCAGAGATCAGAGGCAATGAAACATCAAAACAGACAGCAAATGATCATTTAACCTGGAAATGTTGTATTGGCAAATGCAGTGAATGTAAAACATGGCAGTAAAGCACAAGTGAGCATTATAGTGAAGATGTCTAAATAGGGAATGTGGTTCAAAATATCAATGAGCATCAATAAATAAACAAATTCAGGAGTTGGCCTGCCCATCCAGTCCTGATGGTTAATGGTAAAAGAACTTGGCTTGCTGTCCTCGATCGAGGCTCAGCTTGAGCTCCGAGTTTAACCGACACTGAAGACTGGAGTAATGATGCTGAAAATACAGCTGCGCATCACAGAAATACATTACAGTAATAGATACATAGAAAACAGCTGTTTTAAATTGTAATAATATTTCACTATTTTACTGTTTTTAGTGTATTTTTAAGCACATAAATCCATCCTTGGTGAGCAGAAGAAACTCCTTTCACAGTAGTAGAATTGAATTTGTTTCAAAACTGATGAACACTAACACTATTTTCCTGTTTATTTCTGTGAAGCTGCTTTGAAACGGTCCGTATTGTATAAACTGCTATATATAAATAAATATGACTTCTCAAATATTAATATACATGATAAATTAATCAGCACATAATGTAACTAGAATAATTCATTGTTAAAACAATCAGCTGGCATCCCTACCGATTAGATGAGTGTTTGGTGAAGAAGAGAAAAAGAGCATAAACCATCACTGACTGGAGTTTGATCAGTGGTTTTAGATCAATACTGCTGATCAATGTAAGAATAATGCAAGCACATCTGATGATCTGAAGAAAGTGAGCTGCATCACAACGATCCGCACACTAGAGAGCAGCAGTTCAACATTCATGATTTACATGCAGTGTACTTCACTTTCTGTTTGCCACTCAAGCCCTTTATTTCTATCATTCAGCTTGTCTTTCTGGTTTTGTCCCAGAATACATGTAGACACTAAGCCTGCATAAACACATCTGAATGTGACTGAACTTTTTTTTATCTGTCTAATGCAGTGAAATTCAGAGACAGATTAGATTGCATTGATCTTTGTTGTCGTTGTGCAGAGATCAGAGGCAATGAAACATCAAAACAGACAGCAAATGATCATTTAACCTGGAAATGTTGTATTGGCAAATGCAGTGAATGTAAAACATGGCAGTAAAGCACAAGTGAGCATTATAGTGAAGATGTCTAAATAGGGAATGTGGTTCAAAATATCAATGAGCATCAATAAATAAACAAATTCAGGAGTTGGCCTGCCCATCCAGTCCTGATGGTTAATGGTAAAAGAACTTGGCTTGCTGTCCTCGATCGAGGCTCGAACCCGAGGCTCAGCTTGAGCTCCGAGTTTAACCTCCCTATTGCGGTACTACATAGAGGTAGAATTATAACAGAAATAAAGGAGGAGATGGAGGGATGCCGGAAGAATTGTTGCTGAAATGGTGCAATGACTGCTGCTTATGTAGGCTCTTAAAGATGATTGACAGGACTGAATGATTAAGCTCCTCCCAACCCACGTTTGGAACTTCATTAAATAAATAAAATGAATTAAAATGCAGTCGTTTGTTTTCAAGTGTAAACTTTAATTTGTTAAATATTAAATGTGTTTGTTTGTTTTCTAACAGACTGACTGCTGATGGAAAAGCTCAAATGAGTTCTGCTAGAAGTCATGATGTGAGCTGCTGTCAGACTACTGAAAAATAAAGGTACGTTAGTAGTGCTACTTTTACTGTAATTAGTTATTCGCTAAAGTTGTTGTACAGTTTGTGTGTTCAGTAGTCTGTTATTTTCATTATTTTCATTAATCCATCATCTGTCTGTGTGTGTGTGTGTGTGTGAGAGAGTGTGTGTGTGAGAGAGTGTGTGAGAGTGTGTGTGTGTGTGTGTGAGTGAGAGTGTGTGTGTGTGTGTGTGAGTGAGAGTGTGTGTGTGTGTGTGTGAGTGAGAGTGTGTGTGTGTGTGTGTGAGTGAGAGTGTGTGTGTGTGTGTGTGAGTGAGAGTGTGTGTGTGTGTGTGTGAGTGAGAGTGTGTGTGTGTGTGTGTGAGTGAGAGTGTGTGTGTGTGTGTGTGAGTGAGAGTGTGTGTGTGTGTGTGTGAGTGAGAGTGTGTGTGTGTGTGTGTGAGTGAGAGTGTGTGTGTGTGTGTGTGAGTGAGAGTGTGTGTGTGTGTGTGTGAGTGAGAGTGTGTGTGTGTGTGTGTGAGTGAGAGTGTGTGTGTGTGTGTGTGAGTGAGAGTGTGTGTGTGTGTGTGTGAGTGAGAGTGTGTGTGTGTGTGTGTGAGTGAGAGTGTGTGTGTGTGTGTGTGAGTGAGAGTGTGTGTGTGTGTGTGTGAGTGAGAGTGTGTGTGTGTGTGTGTGAGTGAGAGTGTGTGTGTGTGTGTGTGAGTGAGAGTGTGTGTGTGTGTGTGTGAGTGAGAGTGTGTGTGTGTGTGTGTGAGTGAGAGTGTGTGTGTGTGTGTGTGAGTGAGAGTGTGTGTGTGTGTGTGTGAGTGAGAGTGTGTGTGTGTGTGTGTGAGTGAGAGTGTGTGTGTGTGTGTGTGAGTGAGAGTGTGTGTGTGTGTGTGTGAGTGAGAGTGTGTGTGTGTGTGTGTGAGTGAGAGTGTGTGTGTGTGTGTGTGAGTGAGAGTGTGTGTGTGTGTGTGTGAGTGAGAGTGTGTGTGTGTGTGTGTGAGTGAGAGTGTGTGTGTGTGTGTGTGAGTGAGAGTGTGTGTGTGTGTGTGTGAGTGAGAGTGTGTGTGTGTGTGTGTGAGTGAGAGTGTGTGTGTGTGTGTGTGAGTGAGAGTGTGTGTGTGTGTGTGTGAGTGAGAGTGTGTGTGTGTGTGTGTGAGTGAGAGTGTGTGTGTGTGTGTGTGAGTGAGAGTGTGTGTGTGTGTGTGTGAGTGAGAGTGTGTGTGTGTGTGTGTGAGTGAGAGTGTGTGTGTGTGTGTGTGAGTGAGAGTGTGTGTGTGTGTGTGTGAGTGAGAGTGTGTGTGTGTGTGTGTGAGTGAGAGTGTGTGTGTGTGTGTGTGAGTGAGAGTGTGTGTGTGTGTGTGTGAGTGAGAGTGTGTGTGTGTGTGTGTGAGTGAGAGTGTGTGTGTGTGTGTGTGAGTGAGAGTGTGTGTGTGTGTGTGTGAGTGAGAGTGTGTGTGTGTGTGTGTGAGTGAGAGTGTGTGTGTGTGTGTGTGAGTGAGAGTGTGTGTGTGTGTGTGTGAGTGAGAGTGTGTGTGTGTGTGTGTGAGTGAGAGTGTGTGTGTGTGTGTGTGAGTGAGAGTGTGTGTGTGTGTGTGTGAGTGTGTGAGTGTGAGTGAGTGTGTGAGTGTGTGTCTGGTCCTCTCCTCTCTTTCAGTCGGCGGTTCTCCTCATCAGTCCGTTTGATTTTCAGAGACTCTGATGATGATCCTTCAGCTTCCTGTCGCCGTGGTAGCAACAGTCCTCTTTGCATACGATCGGTCTGTTGCCATGGCAGCCGTGATGAGCCGGGAGGAACCGTGGCGACCCCAGCGAGAGACCGTCTGTATCTGTTACCATGGAGCCCAGCGTGAGTGTAGCAGCGTCAAACCTGTTCAGATTCAAACTCAGAAAGATGCTAATTTGCTTAGTCAAGGTTTTCACTGTCCAAAATCTCCTTGACACTAATTTACAGAACAAAGTACAAGTCAAGCATCACGGTTACTGTTGCTACAGTGATTTGGAACGAACCTCAGACATTAAATACTACACAGTTTGTATCATTTGTGTTATTATCATGAACTAAAACTATAAAAATGTTTGTAAATTAAAATTATTTTTATCCTAATTAACTAAATAAATAATAATAATAATATTATTGTTGTTGTTGTTGTTATTCACAACAGAGTGAATCTAATTGAAAAGTAAGGTTTGGGTCAAGGTTATTGTCATTAACTAAAACTAAAACCATAAAAAAAAGTATTATTATTTTGTTATTTATACTTGAAATAAAATAAACTTTTAATTAAATAAAATATAAAAAAGTAAAAATGTCTAATTTTTATTGTTTCATTTGAAGTACTAAAATAACTAAAACTAAATAAACTAAAAATAGAAACTAAAGTTTAATTAAAAAAACTATATAGACATATTTAAAAAATAATAATGATGATATATTGATGACAAAAAATGCACAACCTTAACTAGAATTACAATGAAAACAAAATATATAAAAATTTAAAATATTAACACAACTTTTCATATTATATTTAAGAACTGAATGTTACATTTTGTTTAATCTAATATTGGATTATGACTTTTCCTCTTTGTCATTCGGTTTCAGCAGTTTTCATGTTTCCACAGTCACACGTTTATCATGTAAAACAGCAGAATTTAGCAGATATAAATAAAGCTGTTATGAAAGCGATGAACATGAGCTGCGCTGGAAATAGAGCAGAAGCGGACCTGATTGAGAGCAGGCCGGTTTGTCTGTGAGGTGGGAAGCAGCAGATAAAGTAAATGAGTTTGGCAGCTCAGAGAAAATCATCAACACATTTGCATATAAATAGTAGAGTCGTTTCTAAGAGTGCATGAGCGAGTTTCCACAGTCGTTCCTTTGTGTTGTCATGTTTCATATCTGCATTCTCGTGTCTCATTATGCAGATTTTTTTTTATTGGTTTTGTATTGCATCATCACATTTACAATGACATGAATTTGTCTGATTGCAGGATTGTGCGAATTCTGTTTGCGTTGTCTTGAATGAGTTGTCATGGCAACCTGCTTTCATGGCAACCTGCTACTCGTTTTGAATTGTGCTTTATTTCTTCTGCAGTGCATTAGTCGTGTTGCAATAACTCACAATGTTGGTTTTCATAATGCATTGCATTTAATTGTATTGTAAATATACAATACTGTGGTATTTTGTACATGCAACCTTTATATGAAAGTGTTTTAATGCATTAATTATGCACCTTATAATGCACTGCATGAGCTCATGAATAATTGTAGCTAGTTATATATAATACATTATAATACTTATGTATTCACTGTTACACCTTTAGAAAGTATAATGCATTAAAACACAACAAACAAACCTTCAAATACTATAATGCATTTTAAGTTTGGGTAGAGTTATGAAAAGATATCATGCATTATAATGTACATTATGAATACCTTTATACATAAAGGCTTTAAGTAAAGGGTTACCAAAAAGAATAATAATTCCCTTCTGTGTGTGTGTGTGTGTGTGTGTGTGTTCTCTCATTAGGCCTGTCACGATAACAACTTTTTGTTGTGCGATATATTGCCCCAGAAATAATTGCGATAAGCGATATTATT